GTTGGTGGGGTGTAGATGACATGGCTGGGTCTCTGTAGGTTTGGTCACGCATCCACTGATCTGCACTATACCATTATGGGGGGAGGGGAATGGAGACAATGGGCACCACCGTACATACTGACCTGAGATCTGGGGTAATAATCCCTTAGTGTAGATTTCTAAAAAACTATTTTACATTTGTTGTTCCTGATAGAAGCTTTATCCGGCCAATGAGGTCCCACATATGGGTATAATAAGTCCCTTTATAGGGGGTCATCGTAACATGAGATGAGAACGCGGGGTGTTCTCTATCGGGGGGTCATCGTGTTACCTGCAATACATAACAATAATGTACATTATCCAATCATTGTGATCAATCAATAATCATCAATACGTTTCCCATGCAGGGTGATAACCAGGTACGGTGCTTAGCGCTTTTCTGGCTATTATAGGACTGACTCGTCCGTGCTGATTGGTGGAAAGTGCGGTGGGCGGGGCTTTATCTGTTTTGTATTGACCTATAACATTCACTCGTACCCCAACAAGTGACTGATGGTGATTTGCTCTCACAGCCGCCTCCGGACCTGCGCAGAACATGAAGACCCTGGGGAACACTTATCAGTTCGAGGTGGATGTCCGAGATTTCTCTCCGGAAGACATCATCGTCACCACATCCAACAACCAGATCGAGGTCCACGCTGAGAAAGTGAGCGACCAATGGCGTGTCTCCCCGGGGCACATGTGGGGGGAAGTGAAAGAAGGGAGGTTCCCCAAGCAAAGGGCAGCCTCTGTCTGCCTATCTCTGGCTTCAGCACTGTTTTAGGGGCACCAGATGTGGTCCGGAAAATGGTGTGAACCTGCCGGCGGTTCCATTGCATTGCAGACCAGACAACATGAGACCCGGGGGCGTCCCGAGGCTGGGTGACACCCGGAGCGGTAACCGAGCGTCACCCCGCATCAGTATTCTGATACCTGCCGGCGGCCATCTTGGTGATGGACGCCGGCAGAGAGAGGAGGGGACAGTCACCCGGCGGGATGAGGTATGCCGCCGGGACCCCTCCTCTCTCCTGATACTGTCGGGCGTTCGGTCCACGACCGAGCGCCCGACTTTTCAGTGGGGGGGGGGTGACACCAAAATGACTGTGAGTCATTTTGGTGTTACCCCCTCCAATGGTGTCACCCGGGTGCGGGCCGCACCCCCCCTTGTGACGCTACTGATGAGACCTGGCGTATTTTTCTGGTCAGGTCTGCAACAGACTGCGCTGGTGTGAACGGAGGCCAGAGATAGCATAGGGATACATTAGGATGCATTTTGGGTCCGGAAACAATCTGGCCCGGAAGATGATCTGGACGTGGTGTGAATGGGCCCTTGGTCACTGAGCTGGAACAAGCATGCAGCCAGTGAGGTCACAATTCCTGACCTACATACTCATTCCGGGTCAGTGACTCAAAAGTATCGAAGCCAGCGGACCAACATGGGAGACGGCCAGCTGGCATTTTCAGAAGGTCAGCAATAGAGCTCTCAGTACACAATGCAATGGGGGGCAATTTATCAAGACTGGAGCAAACAGGATCTGGGGCAGTCGCCCCCGGCAACCAATCAGCTTCTCTCTTCAGTTAAGATTTGAAAAAGAGACAGAGAAGCCGATTGGTTGCCGTGCAGATCTGCTCCAGTTTTGATAAATTCCCCTCAATGTCCCTGCTCTTCATTGCAGTTTATCAGGGATTGGTCGGTTGTGGGGGATCACGGGCAGTCCTTACTTCAGCCATGACCCCCAGAGTTCTTATAT